ACGCTGAAATGCAGCCGGGACCATCGGCGAGATAATAAGTTTTTGGTCACCCATCCCGTGACTGACCCTTGCGAAAGTTGCTTAACGACTACGATCGCGGGCCGCGGCGCTTATCCACTACGCCACCGTGCTACTCCACGGACGACTGCTCTAATCACTGTGTTTTTTAAAGCACTTGTTACTTTTTCGCTACTACAGAGTAGCCGAAAGAAATATTTTTACAAATAATTATACTTTCGATAAAGATGAAAATTTGTTCTAACTAATTAGTTCATACATAGGACGCCACAAAAAAATGGAAGTCGAATATACCTTACTAACGTACACCGCGGTAATTTTGCAATATTTCGACTCCATATCGTATAATCTTGAATACCTCAATATTTTCTTGACCTAATCTTTTTTCTACAACACGTCCGTAAGCTGGTCATGGTACGTACGCGTATCTTTTTCCAGTTCTTTCCAACTTTAACTTTTAAATGTATTATTTGCCTTCACACAGGTTAAACAAAATAACAACAAACACATTACATTCCTTTTTTGGACAGTCGTGTAAAAAATAACCTATTTAATTAATAATAGAACTAACGATATAAAAAAAGAAACTAGTCAAAAGTGGCAGGTAATTCTTGTAATAACAAAAGGTGAATTGAAGCCTATCTCTTTAACCACAAGCGAGGGGTCAGAAGGTACGAGGCTAAAGCTTGTCCTGTTCGACCCAACTTAATTAACACGGTCCCGAAGCGAATATTAAATGTTCGCAAATAGACTTATTTGTCTGTATGTTACCTGCGTATGTACCGCAGCTCTACATTAATTGAGATTTTCTCGGTTGTGCCGGGAATTATTGGATCGCTGTCTGACGCTGAGCCGGCACTCTGAACATTTAAGATAAGAATTAAGTATTGCTTTGTTTATAAACTAAGTACAATGACAATGTTATTTTATCAAAAAAACAAAGAGAATTATCTTAATAAAAGACTTATATCGTGTTGGAAGAACTTTTACAAGTGGAATTCTTCTAACACATGATATTGACAATATTATTTTGTTTTATAAAGAGCTCGATGGCGCAGTATTAAGCGTGTTTTGTTGCTGAGTTTAAACAATTTTTTAAACGACCTTCTGGTAGTAAGATATTCTTTTTTATGATAACATAATCTCATCATCTTATTATTACTACCAATAGGCAGGTGCATAGGCCGTCAAGGCAAAAATGCCCTAATAAACAATTTTTCATTTTCGGATTTAATTATTGCAATTTATTTAAAACTAGTGGCCGCCAGAGACTTCGTCCGCGTTTTCCATTATTTCTTTGCTCCTAATAGTTGCAGCGTGATGTTATATAGCCTAAAGCCTTCCTCGATAAATGGTCTATTCAATACAAAAGAATTTTTCAATTCAAACCAGTAGTTCCTGAGATTAGCGCGTTCAAACAAACAAACACTTCAGCTTTATAATATTAGTATAGATATCGGGTCCAGGATGATAAAATAGTAACAAAATGAAATTATTAACTTGACATTAACAAACCCAAGATTCCTGTTTTTTTATAAGACATGTCTTTGTCATGTGTTCGTCTTTGTAGCTACCTGAAGACTAATGTCATTAAACCAATGTGTTTCTCAAAAATCAATTTCGACTAATATATTTCTATACCGATTTCTATGATTCTTTTTTATGGAATACTTAATACTGTTAACTTTTTTAATTAGGGATGACTGAGAGTGTTATAAACGTAAGAGTAGACAATAGACAAATACAATCAGAAAGCTTCGAACTGCTAAGCTATCGGGAGTTACACTTGTTATTGTGAGTCAATCATAAAAGATAGACATATGCCGTCGTGGGATATTTTTTATATAATTTTAAGGAGAACATTTCCGTTATAAATGATTTCTGGGTAGCTTTAACCATTAAGGTTGCACACGCGACGGAAGCTTAAAAAATGGAGTAAATTCTCCCGTTTTCCCAACATTTCCCTTCACTGCTCTGCTCCTATCGATTGTAGCGTGATGAAAAGTATACTATAACCAGCTCAGGAGTATGAAAAATCGGTATGTACATAAAGTTGAACCTATTATTGTTACCATACTGTATAATAATAATACATTTGAGTGTAAATATATAAGTGAAAACAAAATGATTGTAAAAAGAAAGCTGTCGAGTTTCTTTTTAAATAAACATAAACGACCTCTGATAATATGTTTTAACATTTATTAGCACTAGAACATAGAATTTTTTTATTCATCCTAAACAACAAAAAAGAATATTCGCATTTATAAAATATTTTTTAAGAATACTAATAACTATTATTAATATTAACCTTTAAGAAGACCCCTGAGAATAGGGAGATTAGAGCTGTCGCATAAAATATATACAAGATCTTAACTATATATGTATGGCTGTTTTAGTTAGGTGTATTTTATTGTATAAAATTACTTAGTTATTAATATCTATATAAACTCGAAGTCGGCCATATTGTGTAAGTATTAAGAAACTTCAATTTTTATTTATTATTTACTTAACCGTACAAGTGTTAGGAAGACACAAAACCAATTAGTTTTATTCAAAAACGATCTTGAGAAAATATTATCATCACATTTATTATTTTAAATCATCAAGGTTTATAAGCTTTTATAAATTTTTGTGATGAAAAGATTAACTATTATTATTATATTGCCCATTGAGAGTATAAATCTACCAATGATATATCTACTTACAGAATGAATTTATGAGTATGCTACAACAATTTAAAACCTATTGCCATGAAACATTTATTTTAGCGAGGAAGCTTACAATTAGGTTTTGATTTGCCTAGTACAATTACCATGATGAGTGTTTGTTGTATAATTTATTATGGCATAAATATGAATATAGCAATGTGAAATCCCTCACAATAGCTTTTAATTTGGTAATTGATAAATGTATCGTTCAATCGTCATTGTATAGATTCTGATATTAAGAGAAAAGAAGTGTAAAATGTTAAATATTTTGTAATTGTGTTATTTTAAATAGGACTCAGCTTAGTAGAGACATAAAGCGTTTTCATAAACGTCATAAAAAGTTTTTAAAATTATTTTATTGTCTGTTAAGCCCGATTTACACTTCAAGAACTACAGCGGCGAGTTGACTGGTTCTTTTTGGCTTCCAACGACAACAGAACTTAACTCGCTCACCAAACTGAACTCACCAAATAGACACTATATAAATATGAGATAATAATAGATACCTGAATACTTTCTATTCTATTCCATTCTTTATGATAGTAAAAAACCGAAAATACGAGTAATAACTGAAACTTACATCAATAACATATTTTATTAAGAGTTAATTATTATTTAAACATGTACCTGGTTGATAATAGTTTATTGACAATAAACTAGACTTTCATTATTATCATTAACAAGTGTTGAAAATTCCAGATTTCAGAAAGTTAGAATAATTCAATTTTCCTAGCTATCCTAGCTTTTATAAAATAATTAAATGCAAGTATTAATAATATAGATTTTTTAAATATACACAATTATTTGAATAATGTCGATTCATATGTAACGGAATTTTCGGCTTTATTATATTTTTTCTCACTTCTAAAAATAATACGTTCCCTCCGAGCAGTGCAAAACACGCGAGAGTCGCCTGTAATATAAGAATCGCAAAACCGGCGCATGAATTTTAAAATACACCACTTTTAGGCGCATTGAATATCCAGGACGTGTGCTTAAAAATCTTTATATTCATGTCCAGGACATCCCAGGATACTACAACAAACCAGGACTTGGTCTGAAAAATAGGATACTTAGCAACCCTACCGTAAACATTCCTTTTTGTTTTTTTTTTTTTAGTTTTTTACTCCTAGCAGTTTTATAAGTATGCCTTCTCACCTTGGATATGTTAATCGTATTTACGGGTTAACCGATTAAACCAATACATTAACCAATAATATATTTTATTAGTCATTGCATAAAATTATATTTACTCAATATATACGATACGAAATATTGAAATCAACATCTAACACCCGGCTTCTGAATTAAGAATTTAAAGTTAAGAACGTCTCAAACTATTCTTAAACGTCAATTAAACATGTCTTCGTTGCTGCGTTAATTTTTTTTAATAATCAATTGATAGCAATTTCATATTACTACCCTTTGACCTGTGAAAAGTAAAAATCTGAGTTATTGAGAATAATCAGTTGAGATTTTCTACTTTTCTTAATTAAGATACGGACTGTTTCCCTTTACGGATCCGAAACGTCTAAATTAACATCAAATACAAACTCGTTATACATTTTTAAAAGCACTTCTCATAAATAAAAGAAGTGCGCGTATCTTTCATGCGATTGACTTGAAAAGAGAAAAAAAATAGTTTTCTCACGTATATATGTTGTTCGGTACCTTTTTTACTTTAAATCCATTCAGATTTTTCTTTAGTTTTAGTTTCATGCAGCTTCCCCTTAATTTTTATTTAAGTATTTATAAAAATCGTAAGACAGTTTACAGGATATATCTATTTACATTAACTGCATAATCCTTATATTAACTGTTTTCCTGCAGCTCACTCTATCCGCCTATCTCACCCACATATAACGTAGCTTCCTATATGTAATGTAATTTTTGAAATCGCTCCAGTAATCTTATATCTTTATTATATCAGTAGAAAACATAAATATAGCTGAAGTTTAAGTAGATTTGAGGTCTTTTTATACTAGTTGAGCGGATAGAAATTCATATAGAAAAAGTGATTTATATCTGTTTGTCTCCAATTTTCTATTAGTGTAGAAATATTTTCTTAAACATATACAAATCGGTCCAGCATTTTTCAAGTATGTACATACATAACTTCGTTCACACTTACACTAACATTTCAATAATCATAAAAGTTAATTACGTCCAATGATAAAATGTGGCGCGCAAAATTCAACACACTATTGGAAATCAGCGCGCATGCGTAAGAGCCGCGACGGATTTAAATTTAGAATTGTCGCCGGAATCTGCGGTAGTACTATTCATTTTGATGTCTATGTACACGGCAGATTCACCAATAATTTTATGCGGTTTACTTACAGTGTTATCTTATAATTATTTGTACAAAATTATACCAAAAGTGCATGATACGAGAGTGAAGTGAAATATTGTGATAATGAGGATAGTATCTCTATATTCATAGACTCTTGGCTTTGAATAAATCAAGATAGTTGTAAACGTGTATAGTATATTTTTAAAGATGCGTTTATTATGTCTTACTGTGCTGTTCCTTGCTTTAAATCAAGGTAAGAATGGATTTTTCAGTTAATATTATTATAAGGATTGTTTAGATGTGCTATCGTAAAGAATATAAAAAAAGGTTATGTCAATTAAAGCATAATATTACCTTAGAGATAATTGTAAATAAATTGTTGATTACGCTTAAAGATACTGAAATATTATGATTATTAAAAAAATTACATAGAACCTTCGAAGTTTATTAATAATTTCACAATAACTATGTCGTAGATCACACCAGATATTTTCTTAACAAAATTTTTCCATAGAAAAATACTAGTTCAGTTAAATCTGTATGCTGTAACTTCTCTGTATATTACTATAATCGCATACATCGTGCTCTCGACCGTGTTTCAGAACGTAAATATTCAGTTGGCGTTACGAGAGACGCATGAAAATCTAAAACAAACCTCCTTTAGAGATACGAACCATTCTTTTGACAATCACCTCACGTTTTATTGCCTGTAAATCTTGATAGTGCAAACCTACAATCAGATTTATATCAATGACGACTTCACCTTATAAGGGTTTCAAGCGATCTAACACTTATTGAAAACAGTTTTTGTTTAACTACAAAATAATCAAGATAAATAGTTTCGGTAAATTAAGATATGTTTGATTAACAAATATGCAACGTTTAGCTAATCTCATTAATTAACGGTTAATAAAATAAATACTATGAATTGTACAGAAATTTATATTAACTAATTATTATCATAAATAATCATGGAATAGGTTGTAAAATTTGGTAAAGCTGAAAACTTTAAATGATGATAACCAAAATATTCTTAATATATTTCTGTATGTTTGATGAGATTATTATGTATGAAATACATAGAATATTCTCATTCAATTATTAATGACTAATCTTATAAAAGCAATTAAAATATATTTGATAAATACCTTTATGGAACAAATAATTGTATTATTTAGTTTGAAACCTACTCAAAATATATCCTGAAAAAACTTGCAAAAACTTTGCAAAGATATTGAACTCCGAATTATGTTGTAGTTGGTTATAATACTCTTGGTATATCACAGATACTGTTTTGGCGAGCGTTCGTATAACGGAACTTCGAGTAGAAGGCCACGTAGCGGAAGGTGAGACAGCACTATTAGGATGCAAGTTCGACATGGAGGACGACAGCCTGTATTCCCTGAGATGGTATAAGGATGGGAGGGAGTTTTACCGCTATGCCCCGAAGTCAATACGTCCCACCAAGGTCTTCTACGTTCCAGGAGTCAACGTTGACGTAAGTTAGAAAATACTATTATTTGAAAATCTGATAACAATTCGCGAAAAAATTGATGAACGTATATATAAAAATATATACGTACGCGTTAAACATAGAACCTCCTTCTTATCAATTTTGATGTCAGTTAAAAATAGAAAAGACAGTATAAAAATAGAATTTCATATTTATATCATCATCAAATTAATAGGTTATGGTCTTAGACCTTCCCTATGGATAGAATCGAATCGAATCGAGAATGGGCCATGACCCATCACCCAGTACGGATAAGTGAGTGTTAATGCCTCCATATGCAGTCGGGACCAACAAGTTAACGTGCCTTCCGAAGCACGGAGGAGATCGAGAGAACAAATCTTTGGATCGAGAGAATAAATCGTTGTACCCATCTTATGACTGGACATTCTGAAAGTTGCCTAACAAGCGTATCGCAGACCAAGGCCGCCAGCCACTGCACTATCAAGCTCCTCATATGTATGCATATACATATCATATCATATTTAAATATCATACATAATCTCACTATAGTCGAAATGCTTTGTAAGGTGTACGTAAACATAAACTACAAGAATAGATCGAATAGACACATAAAAAAATACATCGCCATCGAACATATAACTTCCCCCTTTTCGATTTTGTAGTTGGTTAAAAATATTTGTAATTGTAAAAAAATAAAGACTTAGGTCGATTCTTTTATGAAAGAAACTTTTTACTTTGTTGCTCGACTTTACGGGGCCACTTCCGCGTCCCCAGATAGAAACCAAATGATTCTACGGAGCTTTAAAATAAAACAAAACATAGTTTTATATATACTGTAAACAGTATATGTAATTACTAATAAATTATTAATTAATTACATACAAATATTAAGTACAATATAAGCTTTGCGGAGGCCTTTGTAAACGAGTCATCGAAGTTAACCATTATCATATCCACGCGGAGAAAACTTTGTGAAACACTGTTCTACAGTCAAATAGTAGCTATGAGTTACTACTTTCAGATATTATTTAACTATAGATATATTTTCCACGTCAACCAAATCCAAGGACACGCGCCAGATGGAGATTTGTTATTTTCATTCTAAAATATCATATACAGGTCGCATTTGTGCTTTGTTAAAGATATCTGGGTATTAAATGTTTGTCGTTAATTTTAGTATTTGGTTTTACAGTAGAAATGGAACAAAATAGTGCCATTGAATTGAAAGGGTTATAATAATATAATGAAACGGCCATTTTAACTAGTTGGTTGCGATAAATATTGATCTCGTAGTTTCTTTGTGTTACTATTTCAATTGAATGATGTATATTCTCTTGTTATCTCTTTATACTAAACTAAAATATATAAAAGAAATAGGTTTCTGTTAACGATATGGTCGCAAGTAATCAAAGAAACATACATAGCCGTTAATAATTATATTATAACAGGGACCGTCTGCTATAATAATTAAACTTCTATTATCTTAGAAATAAAACGTTGTTATACAGATTTAAATATATTTACTTTCATTTGTACAATTAACAGAACATCAGGTTATACAAATATGTCAAATTTCTCTGTTACATTTTAACCCTTAATGCATTTTGGGGTAGAGTTTTAAATCAACCGAGGGAAATATGGTCATCTACTGTACAGCCGTGTATACAAAAAGAAATGCTACTATTTTTTTTACTAAAGTTATAAATACATTTTGTTTAAAATATTTATTTCGTAAATAATTTTAGTAAATAACGTAACTCGACAAACTATTTACCTAGATTTATTTAATTTTATTGATCAGAAATATCGTAGACAATGAAAATAACGTAATTGCTTAGATGATTTAATGTAAGAGGAAATGGTATCAATCCTATAAATAACTAGTGGATACTTCTCTATAATAATAATAATATTCTTTATTGCACACAACGTAGCAATTTCTTCCAGGCAACCCATGACGTAAGAAGAAACTAGTAGTCTAATATGTTTATTTTTTTATTTGCTACACGAATTGAATTCTCTATATATTATAAAGAAGAAAGGTTGGATCTTTAACTTGTTTTTTTTTTATTGCATCAAATAGGCTTAAAAACTTACCTACGTCATATGTGGGTGAAATGAGGTATAATTTCCGCTAGAGAAGTCACGGGAACTGCTAGTAGATTATAATTATCTTATTCATTGTGTATACATGTACACACTTACATGTTTGTAGTTATTACCAACAAAATTTGTAAATAACATGATTGCAATTAATTAAGCCAACACATAAAGTATCCAATAACATAATGTAAACAAGCACGTAGTTGAGCAAAAATAAAAATAATATCTATTTTAAAGGCGGTTCATATTGTCAAGAAACATTGGATTTGGCCGGTCAATTTATCGATAACGATTTAAACGAATTCCACTCTATTTCAATTGAAGTTTTTGAATATACATGAATAGATTTCAACATTTTTTTGCGAGATATATCATCGACGGCAAACGTTTCTTCCGGTTTATTTTTAATTAAAAATAGAACAACTAACGCGATTTCGATTTAATTTTTATGAAATCTCCTTAGGGGCATTTTTATATCACACTATTTATATAAAAATAATATTTCTGTGCTCTATCCTATTCAAAAATATATTAATATCGGATCACTATGTTACAAATTATGTATGATTGAAACATTTTAAAAGGAAAGATTTGGTCATTTGTTTGTAACAAATACCTATTCTTTAAAAATACGAAACTACTGAACAGATTTTAAAAATTCTTTCACCCACGGGACGCTAAATCATACGCAACCGCGACATAAGCTACAATTTAAACGGGTGATAATACATCTAGTAAGATATAAGATAAATAAATAATGTAATGTTTCTTATATTCTAGTTGAGCCAGTCTTCTACCAACTTCGTGACGCTGAAGCACTTCACGAGGGAGTCTGCAGGAGTGTACCGCTGTGAAGTATACGGGGAAAGCCCAGGCTTCACTATGGTCTACCGTGAGAAATACGTCGCAGTTGACCGTGAGTATATTAGAAATAGAAAGATTATCGTATATTTCTTTATTATAATATTATGAAAAAGAATACCTCATACGGTCAGTTGCACGAATGTCCATTGAGGTTTACTCAACTTTGAGCTCTAATAAATGTTCTAAATTTGAAAAGTATCGTTAATGTCGCTTCAAGTTATTGTCAATTTTATTGGCGTATTATGCAACACAGGATGTGAGAATACTATGCACAGTCAATTTCTTCACTAGATTTTAAACTTTATAGCGTTGATGGTAGATTAGAAATAAAAATAATGCACTCAACATTCAATACCGTATTGAACTTTCAATACATTACTATAAACCCGGTATAGCTATCTAGACATTAAGTGCCTTATGATTGTTTTCGACATTGAACATTGAGTACTAACATAATTGACATTTGTAAACAAAATGGAAGCCTCGAAAATTTCGCGGTAGGCCTGCTGAAGCCTGCTATGTGTACAATGTAAAAATTGTATATAGATGTAACACAGTAATATCGTATTATTTTGCTTATTATACTAGAAAGTGAACTAATATGATCACTCAGCGTCGTTTCATTCGAGAAAAGATTCGTTAGCTCTCGTTTTTCTCAGTACAAAGTCTCCGAAGATCGATATGAATTGATGAAGTAGTTTTTCGCTTTGCACAAGTGCTTGTTAGCAGGGTAGACTGAATAGCCGTTGTCGAATTAAATTAGCAGTTCTTGACTTAGATAAATACTCGAAAACCTTCTCAGGTACCAGAATCGATAATAACTATTTCTTAGGTAAATAATAAAATTGAAATAATATTAGTAAACGAGGCATCGTTGGGAGAACTAGTAAAGCCGACATTACATATAGCCCGCACCACATCGCTGTCACCGCACAGTGTGGCACAGTGCCCTAATCCTGGCAATGTTAGCATAATTTTGACGAGTAAATGTCATTTTATCTTCGGTTAACTTTTAGACAGTTATTTGTCATCATTGATTTTTGGAAAAGAAATTGCAATATTTATATTAAACCTGAATGGTAAAATACAATTAATTAAGAAGCTATTGCAAAAATACATACAACCATCTTTACAAACTTTCGCTTTTATATTTGTATGATAGTATTACTTTAGTCCCGTCCTGCATGTTGTGGAAAACACATTACAAAACACGCTATTCCAGTCTCTTTATCTTTAGGCGATTATCGTGAAGAGTCTTATTTATATTTATTACTCATAATTATTCTATTATTTAAGAAATTGTTTGGGTTCACAGTGTTGCCGAAAAATGGGCCAATGATTATCGGCTTACAAAATGAATACTGGCATGGAAGTAAGATGGATGTCAATTGTACTACGAGCCCCTCGAGGCCTGAAGCTCACCTAGCTTGGTACATTAATGACCAGCCAGCACCAAAGGATTATCTCCAAGGGCCTATGATAGTACTACCAACCAGTCATCCTTACTCTTATCAGGCGAAGCTAAATCTACGTTTCACCGTCTATGAAAGTCACTTTTCACATGGAGTTCTTACTATCAAGGTAAGTTATAATTTAACCTACTCATATATAGCATATAAGTGTAATAGTTAATACAACAACAGAGCAAATACAATAAACACAGCAAACAAAATAAAACGAAAAAGAAAAAGAACAAATTGTAAATATAATATGACAAATAAATAAACTTTAAGAAGACTGGTATCTTTCGAGCCAGTTACTTACACGTATAAAAAATAAAACAGGATTTTATGACGTCATAGTCAGTCTGTCTTTTATTTCTTGAAGGTCAAATAACATTTAACAATAATTTGAGTCAGTTTTACCCGAGGCTGCGATTAGATATGTATGTAGGATATTATCTACCATAAGAATAAATTGACATTTATTACATACTATTAGATTTCATTGCAACACCTACTAAGATAATAGTAATGAATGTATTTATTAAATTTAATACACTTATAAAATATTATAACATCTTGTGTATTATTACAATTATTAAAACTGATGATATCTTAAATACGGTAAATAATTCTTGTAAAAATTAAATGCGATTGCCGTGTGAATTGCATTTATCATTATTCTTTTATAAAAACCTAAAGTTAGTAATAAGACTTAAATAGGTATAAGGGATAACAGGAAACGTCTCTCAGCGACTGTTTCAACCCGGCTTTACCTTATACGCTAATACACACAAAACATACAATTAAATTAACGTAGAACGTGCGTAATGCTCGTAATAATGGTGTCAATTCTCTCTGAAAGATAAAGTTTACGTTAGCTAAACTTAAAAAGACTAACGTCATTTGGGGTTGTTATAACGAAAATATAAGTAGTTAACATTATCGATCTACTATTATGAAATTAATGACATGTTCGCCATCTCTGAGCTCATGCCCAGGTTCGATTACCGGTCGGGTCAATGTAAAAAGTTAACTTTTCTAAAATATCTCGGGTCTCGGTGTCTTGGTAACGCGTTATTTCAGATTACCATAACACAAGTGCTTTTGAAATCTCTAGAATGTTGTATATTTATTAATCAGTTAATTACATTAACGTTTGCAGAATTGCTAACACCCTTTTATCTATTGAGACTGCGTGCTAAGTTACGGCCCGTTGTCTCTTAACGTTTCTATTCAAGAGAAAGGTTCGAGTTTCAGCAGTAAATACAATAATAGCGTAACTTTTTAATAATTTTGTGCTGAATACTTCTTTACAGTGCCAAGCGACGATACCGCCTTTATATAATAAGGTAACAAGTCACTCCTTCTACAATCCATCTTACCAGCATTTAATGACGACAAAATCTCCTTCAACAGAAAATTCGCCAGGTAATTAAATAATATATTAAATTACATCTACAAACTAGAATTGCATAAGAAAATTGAAAGCTTAACAATTCATAACCGTACTTACGCTTACCAAATTTAATAAAAACTCACTTGAAAAACTTTATATTTTTGAAATCGAAATTGCATTGTGTACTGTATCGTCGTCTATCTCGCTCTAACTTACATTATTTATGACAGAATACGACGTAACACGAAGTAGTCACGGATATATTGATAAGTAACTTTTAGCACAGAAATATTTTTATACATGCAGGTTTTTAGAGTAAAACCCTTTGTTTATTACTCATCTAAATGATTTTTGCCTTCTTTTTGGTAGATTCAAAACTAGAATAGTCTAACGTCCCTAACTTTTGATTGGTTTTGTATAAATAACTTTTAAATAAACTCTAATTCGAAATAATAAAACGGCGAGTTTGAAGCTATTTTTTTTTTCATGAATACGCGTGAATTTTTTCAAAACTATTATTGTGGCTTCTATTCTATTATGTATATTAGAGATTCACAGTTAACTTATAGCTATTTTAGAAGTTTTTTTAGTTAAAAATAAGATTTTTTCTACATTTAATCAATGATATTAGATATTAGCTTTATTATATTAGAAATTTATTAAATAATATGCGAGATAACAATCTATTTTTATTATTTCATTCGTTTCCAGTAGCTCAAAAAAGTGCCATCGCGCATTATAAGTATATAAATCTTTCTCTACAATTTTGGGTTTATTTCAAAAGTAAAGCACAATTTTATAAAAACGAATGTGCTACAAACTATACCCATTATCTGCACTATTCAATGAGTCAAAATTAGTAATATATTTTGGATACACACTCAAAATGTATGAGATATTTAAACTACATAACTGACTTTAATGCAGTTTTTCTCAATATACAGAGTGAAGTTTTTAATGTATAAAACAGGACAACTTGGGCGAGGCCACTGACGAAAGACTTATGCAATAATAATAACTCTCATGAGCGTCCATTGCTGAAGTATTTATTTATGGTACAATTTCCAATGTTCTATGGACCTTTCCTTTATAAAAATACCACACGCCGAAGTATTCGTCAGCTCAAAGTATCTGTTGTAAAAAGTTTTTATTCTATAGGCAATAAAGTTTTCATGAATAATGCTTCTGTATTGTGTACGTTAAAAATATTCCTTTATTATCGTTCCCTTAATTTTTAAAACAGTAATTGTTATTGTTTTTTTTTTCAGATCACGCCTCGAAATCACATATAAGTGTACTTCATTTAACCGTACAGAGCGTTTTATGCTTAATTTTTACTCATATTTTAGAAATATTTTAAAATTAGGTTATTATTATATTTGATATTTTGCCAATGAATAAAATAAAGTAGGACAATTTCAAAAATAACTGAAATATTTATAAGTTGTAAGTACATTCTTTATACAATCGTTATTTTAATGATATTATAGCCAGTGTTTGATGCAATTTTATAACTTGGAAATCAAAAGCTGCAAGAATCAAAGTATAGATGGAGTATATTAAATATAATTTGGTACAGGTATAGTTTTGAAAATTAGTACGGTCCATAAACCAAAGATCACTAAAGTTAGTGACAAAAAATAAAGTACTAAATAATTTGTAATAAAAAAAAATGGAAAACAAAACAAATAAATTTTATTATATTTAAACAAATTGCCCACGTAGGCATTTAAAGACATCTTAAATAGATTATGATCCTCTTTTTGAATTCTGTAAATATACGTGGATTCTTATAAATTTTGTCTGTTCAAAACTAATAAAAAATGTTGAAAGCGGGTGATTCATGAGAAAAGATTTTTTGCGTTTTATCCTATCCTAGCATTTATTTCCTCGCTACAAATATACAAGCTGAAATAAAATACGAAATTAACGACCTCGAACTAGTCGATCTATTATTAATTATCTAATTACGTTTGGAAATAGCGAGAAAAGAAATGCCACGGATCTAATCCAAAAATACTTTTTAGGAATCACCCGTGTCTTATCCATGTACTTGCTCCATTGTGTTTTGGTTTCTCGATGCAGTATGTATACAATATTTGCATTGGGTATTTATTTGATATTAATATAACGATAACATTTACAGTTGTATTAATATTTTGTGTTATTTTAAATAAGTGAAGTTGTATGTCAATGTTGTTGATCGTCGGACAATATTAAATTAATTTATAATAGTTATTTGGTGATATATTAGCAGTGACATTGGTCATAGTATGTAAGAGTTATGTCGATATTATTAAATGCACGATAAAATGTGTTCATTACATCCAGTTAAATGTGATTTTGACTTCATGTTGTGGAGTCACCTTTTTATTATTACTCGTAACTATACTATAAGCATTTTTAGTTTCTAATGTGTGTTGATTGACATTTGTATTTTTAGAAGCATTTATATGACATTGTTTATTTTGCCAAGCTTTTATTTTGTTGACTACAAAACTAAAAAAATTCTAATAAAGCATAATTTTAGTTAAAAGATATTTTGTTTTAATAAAAAATATATATATACTATAAAATTTAAACCAGTTAAATATGTAATGAAATTTACTTTAATTATGTAGATATAGTTTATTTACAAAAATCAATTCATTGATAAAGGTTGGCACATCGAAGATTTATTATGTGTTTTCGCAAGTTTTGTTAGTATCCTGATCCACGAGGACCGTTTGGCCTTCCACTAGAGTAACCATTGGCGTCGTCTTCATTTGAATCTCTGCCACCTTGAGGATCACGCCTAGATCCACCATTAGGTATTCCTTGAGGTCTGCCCTTTGGGTATCCTTCATTACCACTTTGAGTACCAGAAAAACCACCGTTATTATTTGTTGAACTACCATTAGGTCTACCATTCGAGTACCCTTGGGAATCACCATTTAAAGTTTCAAGACCACCACTAGGGCGGCTAAACTGTTCATTAGCTGAATCAAATCTTCCACTTGGACTGTGGGACCCCTGTCCATTCCTTTCAGTGTTAGGTCCACCTCTAGGGTAACCCGTGTGGCCTTGCTCAGCATCTGACTGTGAAATGCTCTGCCCAAAATTTTCAGTATTTTGCGCTTGACCTCCCCGGGGGTAACCAATTTCATTATCTTGTCCTTGAAAACTGTCGCCAAAACCGCCTTGTTCTTGATGATATCCTTGATTTCCATTCTGGAAACCTCGATTGCCGCCTATTAACAAAATGATAAGGTCATTATTTATTATTTGGTTGGAATTAAATCAAATCATTTAATCAGTTAAAATTAAATCATATAAAAACTTTGGTTATTGTTGAATGAAAACATTCCCTAAATATAATTTCTTCCTTCCAGTTATCAACTCTGCAACTTCAAGACCACAACTTAAATTAAAAAAAAAGGTTAACCATAAAAGTATAATATACGAGTAATTTTGCATTAATCTGTCAAATATAATCATTCAAATTTTGCTGAAACTGTAATAATATTTATATAAAAATATATTATAGATATTAACATACCAGATCCAGGTCTTCCCTGCCCACCTCTTCCTACAAAAATAAAAATGGAATTACTACTCTGCTTTCTACTCTGCTATAATATAAATACACATTCAATACTGTTTACGAATATTTTTTAACTATATTTATAGTTTATTGTATTAGTTGTTTTGGTACAGCCTGTAACTTTCTGTTACTACTTTCCGGTTGACTAGTATAGAAAGCGTAATGACATTACATCCTCCACTTCTTCAAATTTAATTGAGCACTTTAACAATTGTAAAATTCAGAATTTCAGAACATTTTTTGAAAACCAATTTTTTAGATGGTAGTTTATGAAAAGTATAATACTTTTTTTTACTTTTCGTAAACTAAACGCACAAATAGGTATACTGTGCAGGTGTCGAATATCCCAGCCAAATTCAATGAACCCACCCTCATATCGTATCTGAGGTTTGTATCCCTGTAGGCCGGCTTCGTACTCGACAACCTGCTTCCTGCCATCAGGCAACACTACATTATACTCTCCTGTGGCAATGTCGCCGTCACGTTGTTCTGAATGATGAAAGTTAGTACCTGTCTGCGCGTCATCCACGTCATAGCTAAACTCGTATTTAGCAGGCTCCTAAAACAATCAGAAACCATTGATTAAAAATAATATTTTATATAAAACTAAGAATATGTCTATAAAAGACTTACATCAGATTCATTTCCACCGAAATCTAAACTCCTGCCAGATCCTCCACCGGATGAACTACTACCGAACTCAGGTGTACCATATGATGATGACGGTATGCCACTAGCTGGTTGACGGCCAGCTTGATTATTCGGAGGTTGGTAAGAGGACCTTGGCATATCTTGAAATCCTTGACTACCCGAACCAGGGCTGTTCGGTGATTGAATAGTTCCAGTAGGAGGAGGTCCGTATGAGGAATCAGGCCTTTGATTATGCCTAGAATCTTGTCCTCTACCACTATTACTTCCATGTTGGGTTCTTCCAAAACCTTGGTCTTTATTAGATGAATCATATGAAGATTGTGGGCTACCATTACCGAAAGGTGTTTGACCATTTGGCTGTCGCTGATTGGACCGGTCACCCTGTCTAGGAGCACCGTATTGAGAATTAGGAGCATTAACATTGTTGTTGCCTTGACTAAACCCGCGTGATGGCGAACCATCTTGAGAGTTGGGTCTTTGAGAACCTTGATTGAAGTTTTGCCCAGGTAAACCATATTGAGTATCAGGGCTGTTTGAAAACTCTGCTTGTCCAGGTGGGAAATAAGAGTCCTGAGGTTGACGTTGTTTTTTTTCTATCCCAGAACGGCCACCACCAGGGCGGCTGAATCCTGGTGAGTCATTGTTATTTCCCGCTGCTGGTCCGTAGATGGGCGACGGTCGTCCACCATTGTTAGCACCTCCCGGTGGTAAGTAGCTGTTAACTGGTGGTTCACATTTGCTAGTGGTCCACACAAGAGCAGTTAACCAAAGAATGTGCTGAAAAATTGAATAAGTAATTAAATACACACTCAAAATCTCTATATACTTCCCATTCATACCCTCTTTAGATTAAGCAATTTTTTAAATGTATTTCAGCTCTTCATAGCGCTTTTATTAACTTCTAACCCGATCAATATTCTCACATTACAATTTCAGTATCTGCTTTCGCATAGAAAAACTCTTCAACCAATAAGCATTAGCTTAATTAATAATCCTTTTTTTCAATTACTATTATTTCACTACAGTTCTAAAGTTTGATTACAAAGGTACATAAAATATAATTTGAACAAATTCTTTTGTATGAAACTTACAATAATCATAGTTGATTTTATTTCATAAAACTTGTATATCTAACTAGTGGAACAATGCTCTTTTATTAAGATTTTGCTTTTGAATAGATTCAATTTGAATAGCTCGTGCTTATATAGCCAGGTGAGGAGTGGTGAGCGTGATATCAGTAGTATGCAAGAGTCTCACGCGTGTCGTGTGTTTGATTTTATTTCGTGAATCTGCCCGAAGTAGAGCTAGCTGATTCATTCTGTATGAGCCTTACGGTCATGTCGCCGAGCGTAATTATGTCTATTTGTGAAATAAATTGCACGTTCTTACACGAATCAAATAAATGTATTCCACGAATAACTCAAAATATGAAATGGGAATAGGTCAACATTTAATCTATTTATTTAAATTCTGTTAGGTCCAAAGTTGATACAACTATTTTTATCTATATTGATAAAATATAACAATAATGACATCTATTATATTTGATGAAATATTCTTAATGAAAAATGCTTAAAAAATCCAGAGAGAAAAAAATCTGAGATGGGACTCGAACTAACACGAATGACGAATTTCTTAAAGCACTTGTTATTAGTTCGCTACAACAGAGAGTGTAATGTTCAGGAAATCCACCGACACAGCCGAAAGAAATATTTCTACGAATATTTATTTAAACTTTCGATAAGTATGAAAATTTGTTCTAATTTGTTCAATTATATTTGATTAATTTTGCATTCTCAATGTTAGATAACAGAGAGTATATTATGAATACCTGTATAAATTTGTGTTTGCTTCTGGCAAACTTTTTATCGAAAGCAAAACCAAGGTAACTTATACTTTATCAGTTTTTCTGGTCGTTTTCTTTTGATTTTCTTCGATAAGAAAAAGCAAATGATTGATTTAAGAAGCACAAGGTAATTAAAAGTCTCTTTTTTAAGTGATGGTCCTTATTAAGTAAGCAACTCTTGTCTGTTTTACGACATGTTAGACGACGACGATGTTTATATTAGAGAAAAAAAGAAAAGTTAACTTTATTTGCATTCATTCAAAATCGGAAAGGAGAATTTCAATGTTCAATATGTACTTTATGTATCTAATACTTTAAAATGCGCAAATCTTGTGTTTAAATAATCTGAATCTCGGAAAGGGTTTCAACGATTTTCATGAAACTGAAAACAAACTGTTATGGCATACGACTTCGCTGTACTTTGGTCATCGCAATTATAATATAGTTGTCGCTATAAAATAAATTATTATCATTTGATACCCGATTTTGAGGACCGATCACGTTGGAGATCTTTGGGGGAGGCCTATGCCCAGCAGTGGACGTCTCCCGGCTGATATGATGCTGATGATTTAATACATTACTTGGAATGATTTAATAATATATATTTTTAGTTCCTTACTCTATGCTCTCTAGAGGGCGCTATTGCCAATTTGTAATGTCACATATCGTATAGCACGCGGACAATTAAGACGCTTCTAATGATTCCTCATTTGTCCAGTAACAATGAGTAGTTTCGAAGTTATAAGTGGACAAATGAATATTCTTACATACATACCGTTCAAAATCATAACCCTCCTTTTCGCTTCGCCGTAGTTTACTAAAAATAATACTCGTCTGAAGGCGTTTCATTTCTTCATAAAATATAAACCACTTATAAAATGACTATTACTTTTCAAGTTTTTTTTTTTTAAATTAGTTTTATTATATTTGATCAATTTTACATTCACAGTTCTTTATTTGAAAATATTCTTAATGGAAATCCATTTTATCCCTGGTGCGCGAAGATGGAATATGAAACCATTACTTTTCGCAATCCGAGCGATTACTACAACTAACATCTTAATCGAAAGTTTCAATTATGACGAGTCAATATTTGTAATGAAAACTATTTGTTAATATATTTCTTTCTTCTGTTTAGATGAATTGCCTAACAATCAATGAAAATTTGTTCACATGTCTCAGAAAGGTCTCCACATATCTCCGCTAGCTGTAATTGCTTTGGTTAGAGTAGTTGCCCAGATTTCCCAGAACGCCCAGATGCGTTCGAACTTAAAATCCCATCTCGGGCGCCTGGGACTGGTGACATTCTCAAGCATTTTTCTTTTCGATCAACCAATCTATACAATTCCTCTATATATATATATATATATATATATATATATATATATATAATTCCTAGTCTATTCTTTGATCATTACCTGTACCTTGCTGTACGTGCGTCCGCTTTCATTCAAAGAAATGTGTGCAAAAAAAATCTATACTGATTTAGTGTGCTTTCATTATTCGATACCTATGGATTCTGTCAATTAATCAGAGGAATATCAGTTGTCGTAGCTGTATCAATAAATAAGTCAACGAAATCAGTGAGTTATCACGGCCGCCGCTCGTGCGTTGCGCCAGCGCAGATGGTGCACGACTGCTCTAACAAGCGACGACACCGATCACACTGCACGTCTCGCGTTCTTTGTCCTCGATTATTATATGGGTACCTATAACTTCCTAACTATTATTCAACAATGGTGTTATAATGGTAAGTATTTACAATTTAACAAACTTATTAACTATATAGTTACAAAACTTTGTAACGTGGTAGTTTCGGTAGTGAAAAATAAGTCACGAAATTCAACAAATATTAAAGTTTACATTGAAATAATATTATTGAGATAAAATTAAAAATAAACAATATTGCTTATTAAAAATGTATTCAAATTAACTAAATAAAATATAATAAATTATTTGTAAATTTTACAATCCACGTTACTTCAATAGACAATAAAACAAAAATTCATCATCGCGACAGTGTTATAATAATATTATTTTTTAATCGTATTTCGAACTTTGCATTTGCAACCTCAATACGACAGTAAAATTGTCGTTAGTGTAATAACCAATACAAATGTTAAAATATGAAACATTCATTAGACATCATCATCAACCCCTTTACGTCCCCACTCCAGGTGCTCAGGCCTTCCTTTCGGATGGTTAAGGAGGATGGGCCATGACCCTCCACGCTGGCCCAAAGCGGATTGGAGGGTATAAACGACTGCAAATGCAGCCAGGATCAACGGCTTAACTTGTTTTCCGAAGCACGAAGTAGCTCGAGATAATAATTTTTTGGTCACCCATCCCGTGACCGACCCTTGCAAAAGTTGCTTAACAACAACGCGCGGGCCGCAGCGCTTATCCTATACGCCACCGAGCTACTCTACGTTTATTTCATTAAACCTTAATGGTTTGTACAACTTAGATTAATTTAATCAGATTAGATTCGGCTTTCATAGATAACACAAGGGAAGAAAATTCAATATTTGTTTTTTTAATTTCAAATCTACACTCCATTTCTTTCTAACAACACTATTTTTTGAGATTTAGGCTTGGCCGTATTTTGTTTGAGGTTTTGTATCAGATATGCTCAATTTTCGTAAAACGGGGTTGTTCTATTTAAAAATAATTGTTTGTTACAGTATTCACATCAAAAAATACTTTTAGAACCAGTATCAACTATTTCTGTGGTGAATATACTCGTACATCCAAAAACTAAAATTAAATGTGCTGAAGTACGTAAAACGAGCATATTTTCTTTAAATTGATAATGAGAATTTCCTTGGGTCACCTATGACAAACACTAGATGCCTTATATTTAAAATAAGCGTAGAGTCTTTGAGAACTTGGAAGAATAAAAAGACCCCATTTTAAGAAGGTATCGAACAAAAATAATATGCCGGGAATCTAACTAACATTAAAATGGAAGTTATTTTTGCTTTGTCGACATAAACGGGATAAACATATACACATACATAATAACTTTCACAGAAAACCGCATCACCAACTGCACAACTTTAAATATACACGCATATATCTCAATATACAAAACCCCGTCATGTCACCGAGTTTTCGCTCTCATAGTAAATCCTTAATTTTACAGTCTCTAGTCAATTTACTTCACTTAATGTATAATCCGTGCACCGACTTCTGTTGTACAATTAACCTGATCACCCCTTCTAGGAAAACAAAAGACCTACAACCATGACGATACAAATTAATGACCTAATAGAGAGCATTGATCAACTCTCGCCTTCAAAAGTACACATCTGCGCCCCTGAACAAACCACAGCAATTTTGACCACACCAAATAAATTTATTAAAATCTTTACTCAGAATATCAGATCAATAAACTGTAACTTTCTAAACTTACAAACTTTTATGCATCGTATTCCATTTGACTCTGACTTGGTCATTTTAACTGAATGCTGGTTGTCCTGTGCTTATAATTCTATCATTCCAACGCTACAAAACTATACTATGTGCAAGACCACTAACCATATTAACCAAAGCGACGGAGTGGTGGTATACATTAGGGCAGGACTCACAGCCATGTGTGATGAGCTCAACTTCAATCAAGCAGCTTCTGGAATCGTTATTAAAATAAATTCCGACTTAGCAGTAATCGCCATATACAGATCACCCTCGACTGAAAACATTAAAAATTTTTTATTAGCCTTCAATAGCCTACTTTCAACACTAACTTCCTTTAAAACAGTAGCAATAACAGGTGATCTCAATATCGATATTAAACCTAACACTAACGACACTCGTTCAAACGATTACTTAAATTGTCTCGCTTTTAATGGTTTCCTCCCTGCTCACACACTTCCTACTAGAGGTAACAACTGCTTAGACCATATCGTCATAAGAACAAAGTCCCCTACACTAACATTTGTATATGAATCCACCATTACCGACCATTATTCTACCATGTTTTGTGTGAATTATCATAGGATTAGGCAAATGGTCACGTCCTCCGTCAGTAAGATCGATTACGAAGCACTCGACAATACAATATCTAAAATAGACTTTACCCCACTTTTTGCGGTAACAGATTCGAATACGCTAGCCGACGAGCTTACAAAACTATTAAGATTAGCTATTAACAAACATACTACAGTCAAAAAAGTTCCATCACAAAAGAAAATACTCAAACCGTGGATTACTCCCGGACTACTAAGATGTATAAAACACAGGGATGCGCTACAC